GGGGGTACCGCAGTAGCACATGGATCATGAATTGGGCCGCTGACGCCTCTAAAGCGATGAGCCCGAGGAACCGTGCACGATATCCCATATGTAATGCACTTTATCACACTATGGAAGCATCTTCTGTCAAGGCTAACTGCACAAGGAAGCATGGTTTGAGAAGACAACCATGCAAGGTGCTAGAGCTACACTTGATGATGTTCCCTGGTTAACACTCATCTTCATGGAACTCCCATGCTATCTACACGTTGCCTTTACCGTACTTTTACGTGGCATGAAGTACCTTATAGGTGGCAACTCACCGAGACCTCCCGATAAAAGTAATTCATGATCATTGATAAAGCTCAGAATGGAACGTGAAAAATCACCACACCCTTTTCAGAAAATACGGAACTCATCATTATGATCACAAAGTGTGTTATTGCAAGTTGCTTCACACGAAACACCTCTGCCCAGTACCGGGTGCAATAAAGAAAATCTGCTGCGAACTGTCAATGCGGTCAAATTGAATGCTTTTAGGAAAAATGATTAGCTCCGATATCAGGAGGAACGAGCCCCTCGGACAAGATAATGCACGGAGGAAGCCGGAAAATTGTTATTTCTATTAAGCCTTGGGAAACAGTTTAAACCGGTATTACAGTTACCACACAAATGTTTAGTCTGCGATAAATATATTCGAAAATTACTACAAAGGGATCAGAGATGATGAAACGGATTGAGAAAAAAAAAGCTAGCTGTCTATATACGGGCAAATAAAAGAGGTTAAAACTGCCAATCACAAGGTGTCAGTATATTGGGCCTTTGTCTTCAAGGTAACGAAGCCGGAATCCAAAAGGAATCTTCATACTAATTGTGAGTCATATAAGGTGTTTTAGAACTCTATATGTTTCAAAAATTTCCCAGAGAAGTAATGGTGAAATATCAAGAAGTGCCCAGCGCATAAATCACTTATCGGCAGACCTTCAGGTTGACCTATGTTTATACGCCAAAGAGATGAAACAATTATTTCTAAAGGATCCTTATACACATCTCATTGATGCTTTTGGAGTTCAATAATTATGGCACATTGAACGGTCATCCGAGCGAATGGAACACCTATAACTATGAAGGCAAGAGGCTTACGTACCTGTGCAGCGTAAACTGTACGGATATATGATCATTAGAACCGATTCTTGAGCAATAAAGACGATCCCGTACAAGACTCTGAAACCAGCTTTCTAAATATCGGTGGTTAATGGACAAGGTACGACTTACAATATAATGTGCGCTCAGAGTACGTTGAGCGAAATGGAGAAGGTCGAGTGCTACAGAACGAAACCGATAGTTGTCGTAGTTTTGTATACATCGCACACCAAATTGTTGAGCTTGGCGTAAGATCCACTAAAATCAAGGAATTCATAACCAGCTATAGAAAAATTCAAAATTTACATAGTAAAAGCCTAGATCTATCGAATAAAAGAAAGAAAAAGAAATAGCGGGTAATATTTAATTAAGATGCGTTGGAATCCTGAAGCTTTTCCACTACATATCGGTACAATGATCCACTTGTTCGTAACTATTTCTATCGGATACATCCCAATTTAAACTTGTTATCAAAAGAACTACCTGATCAAGAAGAGGTAGAGGTGACTGTGGACGACTGCCATCGTAACCAGAACAGCCACCAAGCAGGAAACGCAGCGAATTTCGTATTGAGACTAACTAAAATGATATATTCATGTGAACCTAAAATTCCTGTGAACAGAAGGCTTCTATGTTGAGACGGTATTCGTCGTAATGGGACATTCAAGGCGAAATCCACTTTTATATTATGGTGTACCGGAATTAGGAAAACAATTCCGCGTCAACAGCATATGTAGTGGGATCCTCAGTATGTCTACCACGAAATGCGATGAAGACCCTTCACAAATGAGAATTTGAAAATTAAAACTGAGAACGTCGTAAACTCGCCTTCAATTCCACATCCGCCAAAACTTTGTCACCAATTTTTGAGTCGCTGACGGATTCACCAGCAGACAGCGCTACCCATAACCTCAAGCCATCTGCACCCAGGGCTTTCTGACGAAGAGAACCGTTTGTCACCTAAACACTCTGAAATCGGCCATCAGGGAGATAGATACGGCTGTGAGAGAACGCGAAAGCCGCGTATGCCAGCTGTGCAAAGTATTCAAGTTACCCTGAAGAAAGTGACGGTAATCTCCCAGAACTCTGCCATCTCTAGCTTCGCTTGATCTAATCTAGATAGGCACAGCAGATTAACATCTCATTGACTAATTTGTTGAAGGTTGATGAGATCACATAATCGATCTCGAAAACGAAACAAGAGTGCAGTGTATAAAGGGTTTGCTACGATACGATTAGAGAACAGAAGCTGTATTCGGAATTGGATCGGCTCATTGAGGGTATGCGTCAATCTACCATTTCCAACTGCTGTCACAGCCAAACTGTAGGCATTAATACAGCTAAGGAAAAGTGTGGACAACGGAAGAGGAGGCAAAAGGGGTAGCGCTAAGTCTGAACACAACCACAGGCCACTGTTAAAACCTCTAGCCCTACACTAGCTACAAGTGCTACCTGCACGCGCCTCACATGCACATCTTTGTATTTTTTTTGACCAGGTTCGATGTAATTAGCATAGTGTTTGTTATATCTGATGTTTATGGCTTCCACCCAACTGTTTATGGTTTCCACCACACAATAACCTACCGTTTCCGGGTCCACCACATTGCCAAGAGACTTTGACATCTTTCTGTTATTGTCATCAACACAAAATCCATGAACATGGACCCGCTTGTACGGAAGAGCATCCTAACAATCCGAATATAAATAGTTTTCTTCTATCGAAACTGACGAGAATAATATTGAAAACTCACTCACCTGCACAGCAACAGATGTGAGTAAGAGGGACTGAAACCAGCCGCGAAACTGATCAACGCCTTCAAGCACTGCATCGGTTGGACGCTGGAAATATAAAGGGACCTCGACAGGTGGCAATACGATTACATAGGACACAGCTAGAGCAGAAAAGGTGTCATAATGCTTATTATCGTAGTACGTCTGTCGAGTCGTAAAATCAGCTTTCGTTTAAGCTAAAGTATATCTTCAATGCATGAACCTAAGGAGGTGAAAAGTTATGGAAAGTTAACGGTGAGCCATGAGCCCAGCCTATCCTGGCTCAGGGCTACGCATGCGCACAGATATCTACGGTTCTCAGTTTGACTTAAATGACAGCTTGTCCCAGAGACAGGGAAAATTGAAAAAATAGCACAGCAATCAATTATAACGATTTCTCAGATTCTTGGCGAATGAAGAGAAATCTATCTTAGAAATTCATTTAGAAGCCTTATCTCTCAGAAGCATTCAAAAAACATCTGAAAAAATAAGTAGTCTTTTGAAGGGAGTATTTACCGAAACAACAGCGTCATCATACGATTTTCTAGCGCAATGCCAAGCAACTCCGCTATCCATCCAAACATCCATTATATCTGCGCCTTTTGATAGTCCTTCAGCCGATGAAAGATTTAACGATTTCAACACCTACAAAAAGGATGGATTGGATAACAAGCTAGCTTAGACAACTTTCTTCCCTCATAAAGAACAGAAATAAAAGAAACTGGCAAGTACTGAAAATGATGCAAAGTTTTCCTAAAAGGTGGTAAGCATACCTCCTCTGTCACCAAGTCCTCAATTGAGCAGGTCCACCAAACATCAGGTCCATGTTCAGCTATTAGGTCAGCCACCCTTTTCACCAATTCTTTCGAAATGTATGCAGTCCCTGAAAACTTTTTCGAGATCTTTGCAGTACTCTTAATGGTGTTGGAGAATGATTTTAAATAATACGATATGACTCGGTCGGTTAAAGCCGTCGGGCGCAAGATCGATGCGAATTCAGAGATCTGAAGAACCACCCCTCGGTACTGAGTGCGCCGAAATTACAGATTCCAAAGAAACGGACGCAAATATTACATAAAAAGGAGCTGCCATGTGTACGTTCTCACTTGTGAATTAACGAAATACGCCACTGTAACCCATCTACAGCTCAGTAGTCAAACCAGCAGTACGCTGCACAATCTTTATGTACTACAACTGCTACCAATGTACTCATTGCTACCGGATATGCTCTCACCGTTTGCATCAACAAGAGCCGGAATGGGCGTTCCCCAAACGCGTTGGCGAGAAATGCACCATGACGGTCGAGAACATACCATTTTACGCAGTGTGTTGGATAAATCTGAAATTGATCATTTCGAACAGCTTCTTTGCTAGCAAAACATAGTGTCAAAAGTATNTATAATGACTAAGGCGGGAATTCGGATAAAGGTGAGGCTGAGCATCATTCGTTTTCACCCTTTAGTACAGCTAAATCTGTAGCCATATTCTATCGGAACCGAAAAGCCTTAGGAACCTCTATGACCATACACCTCTCTCCAACGTAATACAATAGGCCAGATTGTTGTCAGCCGGCTTCGCTGGCCCACCTGAGTGGCTTTACCACTTTTCCACGTGAGGAATGAGAGCGCATTGGTAACAACTTACAACAACACGATCTTGTAAACCCTGGCCGAAAATAATAAACGGCCCCCCATCGACCTGCCAATTTGATGTCTCAATACGCATTCAAAAACTATTAAAAGTTATACGAATGGAAGCTTAATACGTCGGTCATCTCAGGAAGACTTCGTTAGCTCAAGGTGATTAATCAATTTTCGAAATGGTCTCTTTCAAATTTTGATACTTCATACTTACCGCTACAGGCGTAACAATGACGGCTACATTGCTCTAAAATTTATGACTAATACTTAATCGGTACACGACCAAAAGTCTTTGCAAACCATTCTATTTTGACCGCCTCCTCTCTACCACGTTGTCCTCCTCGTTTAGAAAAAAAAATTTCCCCATTTTGGTTACCCGTGATACCGAAGACCATTATTCTGACAAGGCATCAATATAAGGAAAAGCCATTACTGCGATAAAAAATGTCATGCATATCACCTTGAAAAGTCAGATATGCAAAATAAGGACCAGTTATAGTTATATCACGTTTAGCAATCGTAAGATCAACTTATCACAGTATTTTAGACCCAAAAAAATCTGACCGGAATCGTCGCTTCCAATCTTGATTCCATCAGCAAGTTCTGCTGCACGTTTAGCAATCGATGACACATCGAAGAACCACTGTGCACTACTTCTAATGATCACGGGCTGAAAGTTCAAAAGGTAAAAATGGTAAAAAAAAAGAAAAACAACTGAACATTAATCATGGTCCGTAGACCGGGCGGCGGTACTTGTACCCGAATTCATGCGGCAAACTTTCTCGCAATCGCTGTAATCTTCTACTGAAACCATACCTTTCCCTTCGCAGCGCGCAGTTGGATGCGACAAGGGTGGCATGCTGGTGGGTAAGAGACCCACACCCACACCTTGTTGGTGCCGTTCAGGTATTCGTGCACTTCTGATCATATTACTGAGCTGACTATAATCATTTGTGAAGATAGAAAAACTAGATAGCACACCTTCTTTGTCCGCCAGTCGTAGGGATAGGAATGCTTGTACTTATCTTGATGGACGACATCTTTTCGGAGAATTCTCAAAACCCAAACATCATGAAAAATTATGAAATGGAAATGAACTACTAATCAGTAGAAGTGGAAGGCAGGTATGAACACAACTCTACATAGAGCGTGTGTGAGAAAGGAAATGCGTGGAAACTGAGAAAGAACAAGGGCACGAGGAGGAGAAATGTGAAAGCTCAACTCATGCAATGAAGATGAAGAAGAGATAATCAAGAGAAACAGAGAAGAAGATAAACTAATAATGTGAAAAATACGAGCTGAACGTCAGTTTAAGGAAGTCGTGACAGTGATTGTTTACTAAAGCCGTTTTAAAGCCTAGAATTCTGGATTTCGCTACTCTTCCTACTATGAGAGTGTATAAAGGTTTGCTTGAAGAGGAGATAAAACCTTTCTTGGGAAGAAATATTTCATTATTAGCATGAATACTAGTGAAGGGCCCGACAGTATTTTTCAANGCCTGTTACTTTAGAACCTTCTTTAAAAAATTTTCAGAGAATATGCGGCATTGTAAGGAATTCAATTCGCAGAGTGAAGAAAAAGAGGATGCCACAGCAGAGCTAGAAAAGAAATTATTCCCATCAAAACGAATAGACAACTGCATAACAAGATAAAATAGAAGTCAGCCCGTACAGTTTTTGAAACGGAGAGAATGGGAATGAGAAAGGAGGAAAAAACGAACCTGATGACCTCACGTTGCCCATCTCCGAGTACGTCCTTCCCTTCAAGGCTGGTTCCAAGGTGTCGTGTATACCGACCGTCTTCGTCCACAAAACTTTCTACCTTATAATTACCATCCACAGCTATCTGGAATGAAACATTCCTTCCACGACATGTGTATATTTCGACCAAAAAGTCCACTCAAAAAAGGATTTTGTAGGAAGGTGCGGTTAGTTTCACTCTCGTTTATCGACTAATGAAAATAACTGAAAATTCATAAAATTCAAGACGACAACTCTCCGAAAGAAGGAAAGAAAATAGTGAATTGAATTCAAAATGAATCCTTGGTTTCCACGGAAAAGAGTCAAAAGTCCTATTCGTGCTGTTGTAACAATTCTAGAGCTTGGACCTTCTTAACGAGTACACGAGCAAGATCAAAGTCAAACCTGGTAATCGGTAAATCCATGAGCGAAGGAAGTGTGTACGAGACCAGTTCCCATTGCCATAGTCACGTGGTCACCAGCCAAAATCGGTAAAGCCAGCTCTGCATGCCTTTAAAAACTACTAGTTCAAGTGGATACTTGTTTTAATTTGTCACAAAAACATAGCCATCACTCAAGCCCTTCAAAAAAAAGAGCATAACACATTTTAGCTAGTCAAATATTTAGAGGGCGAAAAAACTAAATGTAAAAAACATCTTTGTAGTTTGATTGGCAAACATACCAGCAGCTCTTGTAGTGTTTTCCAAGTAGCACTTTTCCCTTGAAGCGACCCAGTACTGTCGTTGATCTTCCTGTTACGTTTGTGAGTGAAGGCAGCAGAGCTTCGGCAACGAGATACACCTCCGCAATGGGAGCTCTAAATCATCTATGTGTGAAGGGGCTCTTCAACAATAAGCGGAATAGTTATGAGCGCCGAAGCAGTACAAAGCGAAGCCGCGCACCCGGTTTAACAATCGAAATTCGCCGGCCAATTCGCTCAAACAACTCAAATACTTGAATAATGACAGATTTGACGGGTTGCATGGTACGCTGCAGCCTTGTCAACCCATTGTATAGTCCAAACGTTTTTTTTTTTCAGAGAACCACTATGACCGTATACGGAAGTCGAATGCTTGGCGCAATTACAACCCAACGTTTTATGCATGCTGCATAAAAGATGATGCTACTAGTTGTCTTTTGAAAAAGACTGTTAAAATTTGAGCCGCGAGAACATGGCTTCAAGCGCCCATGTCAGAGGTCATTTTGAATTTGAATTTTTCAAAATTCCATCCTGAATCTTGACTAGCATTACTACTACTTCAACGTACTTCACAGTGTCGTCGAAGCGTATGGCCACATAAGTCGATTCTGGCGATATGCATATAGCGTTGTTAAGAGGAAGGGTCCAGGGAGTTGAAGTCCAAATCTAAAACAAGTTACGCCATTGCTTCCTGATTTGGATCTTAATGCATAATTACTGACCGAGAGAGGTTAGCTCAAATAATTGAAACAGAAATATAAGTACCCACCAGTGAGTATAAAACAAGTGGTTTCGAACCCAGCTCAACTGAGAGTCCTATGTCTTCCGGCTTGACGTCTATCACCTTGAAAACAGTAGGAGTGGGTCGTAAGACCAAACATCACCCCCACAAAACCTTCGAAAATAACTGGCCTTGAATCGAAAGTAGACAGCAGTGCTGGTATGTTTATCATTATATTCCAATTCTGACTCTGCCAAAGCTGTACGGGAGCTTGGAGACCTGCAGATCGAAATGGATATGAAAGAAATTGAGGGATGAAGATAAACCATACCAATAAACTGGTTTGAAGGCCCTGTAGATAATTCCTTTCTCGACCATTTTTGCAAATAACCGCAACTGTTCGGAAACATACATCGAATCCATTGTGAGATATGGTTCGGACCATGCAGCTGTTACACCCCATCGTCTAAAGTGTAAGAATAAATCCAAACGGACTCCGTGAATCAGTGCACATGAAATTTCGCTTGGACCACAGCCAAGACGAGAAATACATCCAACATACTGCTCCTTATAAGATAGAAGCCGTATATAAGACCATCCGATAAGAAAAATATCGAGCTATCATAGAAACGACGGAACACCCACTTGAACGAGTTCAACTGCTTCGCGATGGCTTCATTGGCTACCTGTCGAGCAAGAGCTCTAATTTCGAGAGGTGACTTCCCCTGAACGAAAATTTCTAATGGAACAATTCTGTTGGCACGAAACTAAAGAATTCAATGGTCACCTGGACTTTTTTGCTAATCTTTAATTCAATGGGAAGTCCATGGCAATCCCACCCTGGACGGAATCGGACCCTAAAATATAAAAGTGTCAAAATATCT